AATAATTGATCCAGAAGTTCTCTTGTCTTCTGGATTTGGTTCAAAATTTCAAGACTACGGCGTTGAACATTAGTAATCGCAAACCCTAAATTGGGTCTGCTGTTCAACGACGGCTATAAAATATAAAACACAAAATATGCTTATTAAGACTATCCACATATTATACTATTGAATGTTTTTCAGATTAAAATAAGATCTTTTCTCTGGTTGATAGTTTTTTTCCTTGACAAAAAAGAGAAATTGTGCATCTCCTGACTGTCGGCAGTAAATTTGATTAACGGCTAACTAGCACATGCAGTTTATAATAAAGTATAAACGTCAGAATAACTATAAAATTCTACACTATAAGCTTCTGCTTTGTGTTCTCGTAATCATTACCTTGATGTTAAACTCTTAAAAGAATATGATCATTTTACGTGTGTTGAAATCAAGATTGATTAACTCTGAGGAAAACTCCTTCGGAGGTCGATTTTGAACTTGATTTTGAATTTTTTTTTTGTAAAAAATTAGGACTTTAGTTGTCTCTATTTTTTTAATACTAAATACACTTTTAAGTTATCGTGCAAAAAATTGTAGGAAATTGACACTTGTTTGAAAGATTCAGGGCTTATATATTTCTGAAAATGTGCTTGTTTTTTAATCGAAATGTTTTGGCAATGAAGCCATTAAACTGATGATTGCGCATGGAAATATGTGTTGTCAGTAAAAAACCAAACAAAAAAATGAAGAAGTAAGCAAAAAATAAATAAATGAAAAATAAAAAATTGTCATCGCCAAAAGGCGATTGCAGGTTACCCATTGGCAAAATGGTTGTCCAATTTTTTCTCTTACCCTCTTTATTTGTGATATTTATCTGAATTAGTATTGATAGCGATCCAATTTGAACTGTAGGTTAGAATTTCGGATTCTTAATTAAAACAATAAAAATAAAAATATCGTTTAAATGATTAAATTCCCTTTTATGAATTATGTATATTTGTATATACAAGAAGTATTTATTGGATCTCTCTCGAAAATAAACTCACCAACTTAATGCTTAACGAAATTAAAAGTGAAAAAAAGAAATCTAGAAAAATTATCAAACAGCACGTTCGCCGTAGCAACGCATGCAATGACGACGCAAACGCACTGTTTACTACTATTAATCTTGAACACAGTTGATGACGTCCAAATAAGGTACGCATGCCATCAATCCCAAAACAATGATCATTTTGCCAACGGGTTAAAAAAAAAAGCAATTATAGTAAAAATGAAGGGGAGAAAATGAAGGAAAAAAATTGGACTACATGCACAGTAAAAATTTTAATTTACCTCAAGATCAAAAAGAATTGCAACTATACAGCAAAATTTTTCATAGTGTAAAAATCGATAATTTAACAGAGTTGCCACGTTTTGTTAAAAGAAAAAGTTCTTTTATTCTCCATTTTTAAAAGTCCGATACTCCTTTATCTTTTAACGAACATTAGGAATTCGTATATTAATTGTCAAATTTTATTACAATGACAGCTTCTTCATAGAAAAAAATTTATGCAATTTGTGCATTGTTTCTGAAAAAATTAGCATCTATTTTTGTAAAATAGAAGAAAAAAAAGTCTGGAAAATACTTGCAAGAAGTGGAATAAAGTTATTCAGAAAATTCCACTCCCGCTGAAAAACAAATATCAGTACTAAATTTTTAGGAGATCTTTTCTTCTACGTAAACATTACAGTTTTCTCTATAGTGATATTGAAGTAAACATCAACTTAAGGTTCCAACTTAAAGTTTATTCGCATGATAAAAGTAAAAAACTTAAAAAACATTAGAAAAAAATGCATAAACATAATTAAATCCAGAAGACAAGGAAACTCCTGGTTCAAACTGTAGGAGAAATGTGACTTAGTGGAGGACTTTTTGATGGAACTCACCCGCTTTTTCTTTACATGAGAGGAAAACCATGAAAACCTCATACGGTTACTCTGATAGCGTGGGAATTCTAGCCTATGATCCGTCTACCACTGAGGATATTTGACGTCAGTACTGTGGTTGGTGCAAGCCGGCTTCGGAATTCGCATCAGCCAACCATCGCTGGGATTCGAACCCGGGGTACCTCATTGGGATGCGAATGCTCTATCTCCTGATCCATACGGCTCCCACTTAAAGCTACCACACTTCCACACTACCTATTAATGACTTAATAGGTAGTGTGGAAGTAGTAGACTGTAAAATATTTGGCAATGCCGAGGTTCACCCATTCCTCAAAAAGTATAACAGCGTGTAAATAGACAGATGTATAACCACACAAAAGTATCACCATATGTACATTCCAGAGAATCTTAAGTTTCAAACTCCCGAAATTGTAGTAAATAGTACTTGATATGTTTAAATTGCACTCTATAACAACATTTTAAAATTATTCAATGTATTGCCCAATTTTGCAGGATTTTTTTTAAACAATATTAATTTAAATTTCGTACAATTAGATTTAAAAGAAATTAACAAGAATAAAATTTGAATCTCACTTCTTTAAACTATTATGATTTTCAAATGATATTTTCGCTCTTATTATTCTGGGTATACATCAGCAATCAAGATTAACTCGAAAAAAATGTTCACTAAATGCATAAAAACATGTGATTTTATTATATATTAACACAAACACCTAGTTTTTTCTATCTCTGAATTTATGTATTGTTAAACTTTTATAACTACTCGGTTATTTTTAGAAAGTATGATTATTTAAGGTGTCTTAGAGAAAAATGTCGTTTTTTTTCACATTTGGGCACGAAAACAATGTTCAATATTAAAAATACATCAATTTTTAAGATTGAAAATATCGAAAAATATCGTTATCATCTGGCGATATACCACGATATTAAAAATTATATTACTGCCCAGCACTATTAACTAAATGTTACGCGCTACCGAGCACCGTTCAGGGATGGTTGACTGAATGCAAACAATAACAAGCTTCCTAAAACTTAGAAAACTTCCGGTGTATCCCTCCGCTTGTTATGCTTATGATGAGGAGATGTGTGAATAGGCTTAATATTTAAATAAGTTTTATTATCGTGATATTTGCTTAAATTTACGTGTAATTTTACCATTCATAAGAGTTTCCTTTAATTTATAAGATCTAAGAAGTCATGAACCAAAAACAAATTTAACAAAATAATATCACAGCATAAATAAAGTGTAAGGTTATTTTCAAATTATATTTTTTAAAATTTTATCCGGTGTTGAACAGCCGACCCAATTTTGGGTTTGCGACTACTAATGTTCAACTCCGTAGCCTAGTATTTTTGAACCCAATTCAGAAGTCAAGGAAACTCCAGGATCAGTACCCCCAGAGGTTTTGATTTGTTTTGGGAACATGGAGGACTTTGCGACTCGACAGATTTAAGGTGCACCAGTCACCATTTACTACACGGAAGTTTTTGGCCTTCGGGAATCGAACCCACGAACTCTTAGACATGGGCTCCATTGCCCTACCAACCAGGCTATCTCAGCCCATAAAGTGTAAGATTAGTCATGTTTCGAGTGTTATCCTTTATCTGGCTATATTTGTATAATATAGCACCGTTTGTTATTTTTTCAGTTGCATCATAGCAAGCTTGCGGGGTCTTCCGAATTCATTTGTTGTTTGTTTCGTTGAAAGTTAGATTGAAAGAACGCGTCATATTGGAAACACTACAAGTATACCGTGGAAAATATTGTTATCAAGTAAATACGAAATATATAATGAAAGGGGAAAATATTATAGTAATATGGCAGTATCATAGTAGGAGAGGAAAGGGGAGAGGGTCAAGACATGAAACTGGTCTTCTAACCAAATGGCGTATTCAAGCGTTGCGATCACCAATATATTCAATAAGATCTTATTTCGCATCTGCAACAAAAATATATAAATGTTTTAAGTTAGTGACTAATTTTAGGTTTAGAACCATCTTCATCAGACTGGATTTCATTACTACGCAGTTTTGATATTCATCATTTGTTTCGCACTTGTAAAATGACAAAGTATATGATTTGATTTTAAAAATTTGCTTACTTTTGTCGGAAATCATTTTTAGACGAGTGCTCGGATTAACAACTTTTGAATATGCCATCCTGGGGAGAAAACCAGTTCATGTCTAAAGATGTTCTCTTTTTTTCACCGCTCAGAAGCTAAGGAATGTATTACGATGTTTCCTTCCTTTATAGTAATTTCCGCATTCAGATTATTAAAAATATTTTTTTAAATTTCTACGATGTACTATGTTTAATGCAGTTTTGAGTTCCATTTCCTAGCTTAAAACATTTTAATATGCTTAAAAAATCAAGACAGAAACAAACTTACTCCTTACTACTATGACTATCCATAGGCTAATGAAAGTATGCCTAGTGTTGCAATAGGTAGAATTCTGCTATATGGACTTTTTGTAGCCCATTTTGATCATTTTCATTGAGGCTTTTTAGCTTGCATTTGCTGTGTTTCAAAACTATCTTGTTTGAAAAAAAAACCTTTTTTTTTCATTCTTTTTTAGACATTTAAGTGCATATGAAAAAAATTACGTATTTTCAGAGAAATTTGAGAACATGTTGAATCGCAGAAACATTTTCTGTTTGAATGGTATTTAAGGATTCTCCTCCAGATTTGAGTACGTCTTATCATCTTATCCTACCTGTAATTTATCAAAACTTGCGGGTGCGCTGGCAATCACATGCAGTGCGAATTCATCCTTCCGCGTGTGCGAATTCTGATGCCAAGAATGGCCCTTTATCTATGAAAAACATTGGTTTCTGCTAAAAAAATTTATTGAAACAAAACACTTTTTATTCTAATAAGATTTTAATTTCCCCTGATGTAACAAAATAGTATAATAACTGTATCACCCGACGATGATTACACACACATATGCATACACACGACTCTCATTGACTCAACCTGTGTTCTTTATTCCGATTCAAATTGTGAGTAGAAGTTAAAGTTATTTTACCTTGTATTTCCCATTCAGACTAGGCGTTTCTCTTCAGTTAGGCAGAAATAAGTTATCAAAAGTGAAATTTTTTCATGTTGATGATTTGCTCGTTGATAATTTGCTTAAAACTTAAACAAGGTAATCCTAATTGTTCGTTTGTTGCGTTTGAAAAAAATGGACCTGAGAAAAATGAAGAACGATGAAAAATTAAGCTTATGCAGGTGGTATTATCGAGGTTAGTTGCTTATTTATTCGAGTCAAAGATACTAAAGAATAAAAATGGAATGTTGAACAATGGTGCATTTTCAGCTGTCTCTTTCCTAATTTTTCATATCTTTTATAATATTTCTTAAATTAATAGTAACCATTTCCGCAATGCTTTTAGACGCTACTGAATTTTAAGTACAATCTGCTAATTATTAATCTTCTAATTAAAAATGGCACATGCCACTGATGATTGTTCATCAGTGTGTGCCATTTTTTAAATAATCTTTTTTGTTATGTAAACTAAAACTTAACTATTTAAGCAATAGTATTCAGGTCTCGCGCTAAGGATTACAAATTATTAGCCAAATATCAAAAGTTAATTTTCGAAATTGTTTACCAAACGCAAACATTTGAAAAAAATTTATTATTAATTTTTTTCTTAGAGAAGACTGTTTTATCTTAGTTTGTGTCAAGCGTATGTTTAATTGGAACCAATTCTATTTGGTTACACTGCACATCTTCCTTCAATTTAGATAGTCTAATAAAATAATATCGATTTGTTTAGAGGATCAAGTTAAATATAGATTTTCCCTTCTAGTGGACCAAATCATTCCCAAATTTCGATTTCATCGCATTTGGCGAGGTGGCGAATGTTTAGCCCGAATCCTGAGTATTGCATTAAAAACCATTATATGGACTCTTCCTCTTGACTATGATGTTTTTTTCTCTAAAGTAGGGTGAAATCCTCTTGACTATGACACATGCAAAAATAGTAAATATTGTATTCATTTACTATGCTTGAATTAATTATAACAATATGAATATATGATGTTGAGTCGTACTGCTCCGCGCTTTTGTGCCACTGATCCTTGGTTTGATCCTCGAGTTGGACAAGGTTGACTCAGCTTTTCATCCCTTCAGTGAATCAATAAAATGAGTACCAGGCATGCTTTGGTATGAAGCTCTAGGGATTCTGCTTTCGGCTGACCACCCCAGCAGATCATATGCTCTTGTGTTTCAGAGCCCAAGGTCAAGAAAACAAAAAGGAGCACAGTAGGCCTTGGCTGTCTTTGTTGTTGTCTTGCCACTGAGTTTAGTTTTTGTGAATATACAGAAGTTATAATTTCCACTGCCCCCTATTGTGAAATTGCTCTAAGATTTTTTTTCACTGTCTTGTCGAACTAAAAGTAGGTTTTTCTATTAAATGCTTTAGCAAATAACTTGTTATAAATATGCTATAGGAATTATTATATTATATTAATATTATATGATGTTGGCTTATTAGTTAAAATGTTAATTCGTCCCATGGAAAACTTAGATGACTACGACATCCATGAATTATAAATAGCCTTGTGGTTGAAAGTTCTCTGTAACAAAAAGAAACTGGGATAGGTGCACTTACTAAAATTTCATTGTACCATTAATTGTGATCGCCTATGTGTAATTTATTTATTTAAAACTGGAATTTTCTTGGAACATTCATTGTCGCACATTGACTTGGTATTCTATACAATGACTAGTCAAAGATATTAGAGAGGATTTTAATAACAAACTTATGCTTTGGAATGGGTGCTCAATTTCCAGATTACCTGAATTAATCGAATTTTTAAACATCGTAATAAATTTGTAACTTGAAAATTTTGATCAATTTGTAACTTTTAATCATGGCTATATGTACTTTTAATCAGAATTATATAATTAGCATATTTGAGGTCACCTCCAGGAAACATTAAGATTAATATTTTGTACACTTTGTATCTTTGTACATCAGTTGAATATTGCTGAATGATAAGCTGAGTAAGTCAAGGTTCTACTTTGTATCCTCTCTTTCTAAACGTTACTCATTTTAAGATAAATGATTTTTACAAAAATACTCAATGTTAATTAATAAACTACTCAAATGTGAAGATTTATGGCTAAGCAAAGTCAAACTATAATACTGGCGACTGATTTAGTATTCCATTTCTCCTTTTTGTCCTCTACACCTACCTTAACAAATTTTACAAATGTTTGGTTCTTTAAATTCTCATTTTTCAATTCCTACTATTAGTTCACTCTATATCTTGTTCAAATTTTAAATCGTTGATAAAGTACTTTTTATTCATACACTCAAGTTCAAATTCATTTTTTTAAAACTTGTATTGGATGACACTTGATGTTAATACAGTTTTTTTTAAATATTGATTCGTTAATTAAATTTAATTAATTTTATATGAGATTTTTTTTTAATATTTAATAAGAAGTAACTAAAATAAAATTTTTTTGACTTAAGTAGGAAATTTTATTTATTTATTAGAAATACAACTAAATGATTGTTTCAAAAAATACAATACTTCCATTTAAGAATGCTGACTTTTTATATATTTTTTATGCACTATAACACAAGATTAGTTACCTGAAAGACAAAATTATCAAACAGAAGGGGGATATTTCCGTATTGTGATCTGTTGCAGCAATTATGATCATCATAGTTCCAAATAGATTTTAAACTTCCAAAAATATACTGCTAAAAAAATTAATGTTTTCCTACAAATGCACTCTGGTTATAATACAGGGATGAGATTTTTCCGCTTTTTAGCGGATTTCCGCCTTTTTGCTTTTGTCTCTTGAATTTCAGCCTTTTTATCAAAAACTCCGATTATGTAAGTTTTTTTCTTTTTTTCATATAAACGTTCCACTTTTTCTGAAAATCCAACCGTTAAAATGAAATAATTATATTTCTTTTCGATTTTCAAAGATAAACAGAATATTCAAACTACGTAGCTGCCAACCTTTCCACATTTTTAATAATTTTAGCTATTTTCTCCACTTCTACGAGCAAAAAATAAGATTTTTATCAGATATCTCATATTTTCGTAAGTCAGACGTCACTGCATTTTAATATCAAACATCGATTTTCTTATTCACATGATTTAAAAGTTGTGCATTTCGATTCTTATTCATGCAATTTCAAAATCGTACATTGCTTATTTACGAGGTTTAAAAATCCAATATCGCTATTTGTATTTACGCGTTTTTAAATTCCTATGTAGTGATTCGTATTCACGTGAGTTTAAAATCCAATGTCGTGATTCCTTTATGCGGTTGTAATATGAAACATCACTTTTCGTATTTACACGTGATTTAAAAATTAGGCTTTGGGTGCGTATTCAGTTAATTAAAAATTATGCATCTTGATTCGTATTTACGCGATCTAAAAATAAGGCAACGTGATTTGTATTTTCACATTTTTGAAATCCAATATTGAGTTTCGTAGTCACGTGATTTCAAAATCCAAGATCGCAATTTGTATTCTCGCGATTTCAAAATCCTTTATCACAATTATTATAAGAAGTAAGTTTTTTTCTTGAATTAGTTACTATATAGGTGGCAGTTGTTCTATCGACGATTTTTGGTATATAGGCATTACAACATCAGCCAAACTGGATGAGAATATGTTGCTGATTATTTTTGCTATAAATCACGTATTAGTAATTTTTAATAAAAAAAAATGAAATGTTAATGTATGTTCTCAATAGATTAGTGTGCTAAACTAGGCAGTAATAATTGACTCCTTTGTGACTCAAGAAAAATATAATTTCCAGCTTTATTTTTTCAATTTGTAATTTTACTTTTTGCAAAATCTTAAGGGTCGATATAATTATACCTATATTAATAAATTAGTACACAATTAACTTTATATCAACACATAATTATTTATTATCTTGAATTGTCTGAAATTTATTTTTAAACGATTGATTTACTCAAAAGATTTACTCGCGTGAAAATTCAGCTTTTTGGGCTTTTGGCCAGTCTCATCCCTGATAATAACAGTGAAGTAATAACAGATCATTATAATAATAGTAAAAAATCGTAAAACTTAACTTGTTGATGAGACTTTAATATAAAAATGCAAGAATTTTTAAATATATTTATGTGAACTGCTTACATTACATAAATTTTAGATGTGAGTAAAACAAAATTTTATTTTTTATAGGTGGATTCTTCTTTCTGCCTTTTTTGTGGTTCGTGAATGCTATTTGGTTTTTCAATGAAGCCTTTCGAAAAAGTTTTTATGAAGAACAGCGAATGATTAGAGCATGTGAGTAGCTGGAAATAACTCTTTTATGTTAATATCTAATATCATTCCTTATTTTGCCTTAATTGTAATAAAATATTTCACATTTTTTGTTGGTGAAATTGTGTTAAATCATTGATATCTTATGTAATATTTTGCTTAGTATGTGATATTTATATATGAAGAACAGCAAATTAGGGCATGTGAGTAGCTGGCAATAATTCTTTTATGTTGATATCTAATATTATTCCTTGTTTTGCTTCAATCGTAATAAGATATTTCACATTTTATGTTGGTGAAATTGTGTTTAATCATTGAATTTTATGTTTGTGATATTTTATAATGTGATATTTTATGATAGCAAATTATGTTGTTTGAAAAGCATTTAAGTATTTGATGTCTTCTATATCATCCTTGGCAAAATCGCCAGGGTGCCCTTTGTCGCCAGATCTTACCAGTTCAATACAATTCAGGTTTTAAAATTCCCTTTAATGTAGTGCAAAAATTAGAAGTATTAAATGCCCTCTTGCTCCACTATCAATTAGTTTTTGTTTGAACAGGGTTCATGGCATTTTTTAAAAGAGTTTATGATTTACATTTTTTGAAAGCACTTAGAGTTGCTTTTTTTATTCGGGGTTTGTAAAAAGTGCTTTAGATTGTCGTTCTAAATTACAAAAAAATGCATTATTTATCAGAAACTAATTATTTTATTTTATCATGATTATGTGAAGTTTGTAAAAATGTTTTTGAATTTTATTGATTTTACGTTCATAAATTAAGAACTTTAAATGCTAGGAAAAAATAATATTTTTATTACTGAACCAATCCTAGTTATGATTTTTTTTGGAAAGTGATTAGAAATATTTTTTGTGTGCTTAAAACGTACTTAAAAAGGTGCTTATTTTTTGTTGGAAAATCTGGCTACATCTGTTGAATCTTTAGTGTAGGCTAGTGGTATCAAAATGCCCTGCAAATCTTATTCTGTTTGACTTAATAAGTTTTATTATATCAATGTCAGTAGGAGATACCTTCTATTTCTGTATTAAAGCTAAATACAGGATACAGAAATCAGAAGTTTTGTATGATTTAAAATCTATGTATCTAATTCAAATCATGGTTGTGTTGTTTTATTTTTAGTAGCCGTGTTACATCTTTTTTAAAGTTTAATTTCTTAGCTGATAAATATGACAAATAAATGCATCTTTTAAATTTCTGTCTCTTAGAGCAATTATCTCCACAAATGTGTATGTGAGTACAAAGTTGATTTTTAAAGAAAGTCTGTTCTGTGTTTTTTCCAGAATAAATATGTTAATGTTGTACAGTGTGCAATTTTTTAAAAAAAGCGGATCACTCTGAATAAATTTTAATCTAATGAACAAATCTTCATGTTTTAGGATTCAAACTTAATAAATTTAAAGGGATGACCTGAAATATGCCAATTATTAGTGCTGATTATATTTTAAGATACAAAATCAGACACAAAAATGTACTTTCTCTGAATAAACCAGAGTGTATAAAAATCATGATTTTTTTTAAAAAATCAAAAAAATCGGATTTTTTTGATTTTAATCATGATTTTTTTATAATTTCAATTCTATGGAATATAATCAATTTTGTATACCATAGATTTAAAGTTGTATTGTATTACTATTGTTACTTATGGTATACATTGGAAATATTTCTTAACAATTTAAAAGCAAAAGGTGAAATAAGAAATAAACAATAACAAAGTGATTTCAAACTACAAATCAAGAAAGAAATTGTTTATCAAACAATATGTGATAATTATTAATTCTACATCTACAATAACAAATTATTTAAACAATCATTTAATTAGTTTTATTTAAAGATTTAAACATAAGGACTGATTTAGCTGCCTTTTCTACACCCAATTGATTCCGTAGTTTAGTATGTATAAGTCCAAAAGTGGAAAACATCCTCTCTATCCCTGCAGTTGTTCCTTTTACAGTACATAACAACTGTATTGCATCAAACTCTTTTTGACCTTCACAGTTCTTTAGAAGCGCAATTGATTTCCACCATTCCAAGATGTTTAAAGATTCTTTATCAAACAAAGTTCCATTAAACGGAGGAGAGCGTACAATGAATTTTAGCAAAATACTTAATAAGGAGGTTTCTCCATACTTTTCTTTAACAAAGTTTACAGCTTGATCTTTTTCATTTAGTGTTAAACATTGTACTTCAGAATTAGGATCCAACCCATGAGCAGAATATTTTCAAATGTTCTGCAACAGGACTTATTAATTTATACAAATGTTCTGCAAGCATTTCACAACTAAAAAAAGTAAACTTTGCATTAAAATACTATATTTTCATTTATTAAAATACAGGATCATACACAGATGCACTGCATTATTTTTTAAAACAAGGCAAACATTCTTGATTTGTTACTTTTTCAATCACTTTTGAAGTACAAAATTTTGCTAATGACGATTATGAATTATTAATAAAATACCTATGATATGAAGATCAGAACATTAAAATAATGAGGGATTACTGATAAATGTGCTGAAATTTGTGTAGGGTGTCAAATGTTTCTCTTCTAAAGCAACATCATTCCTGGGAAGCAGCAAGTGGTCAAAGTTAAAGAGAATTTTATTCAAGATACAAATTTTTCTGCAGGACTTCGTTTGTTCTGCGACGTACGTCACAGTTTTAGGCACTTTCTGCTTCTGGGGGATCCAAGAGGTAAGCTAGGAAATGAGCTGGTGTTAACGCTTGTTCATATCGTTTAGTAAAAAAAATTTCGCAGCAATTATTATTAGAATCTTTCAGAGTTTCCTTTAAATTTTTCCAGATGTTGACAACATTTGATAAACTACAATGATCTTTTTGCATTTTATCTAATGCTACAGAACTGGGTTTTAACATTAAAAGCATATCTTCTGCATTTCTTTTAATTGCCATATTCATGACTTTTGTCCTGATATTGGTGTCGATATCATCCCTATTATCCTCACAAACTTGCATGAAAGTTGATCAATTCTTGATGTAGCTTTCTAATGAATCACACATAGAATTCCAGCGCACTTCAGTTGGCCGAATTAATCCAGTACCTTTAAGTTCATTGTATTTAGCTCTAATTATTTGAGGATTTCGGAAATATGATTAAAATCAGTGATTTTTTTAAAAAAATCATTTGATTTAAGTCATAATTTTAATCAATGGTTTTAATCATTTGATTAAAATCATTTACACCCTGGAATAAACATACTTTTTTTTCCGACTGATTTGAATTTCTGACTCCCAGAATATCTGATGCAATCTAAAAAATATGGGCCCAATGTTCTGACCTTTTAATATTAATTTTACTTGTAGCCATATCTTTAGCTGCAAGTAAAAAGTCTTTAGCTACAAGTATCTTAATTCTTGCTCACAATTATTTCATTCATTTATCCGAAGATAATTCAATTAATCTTACAGTTTTACAGAAATAAATTTAAAAATACTGGAAAAAAAAGATATTTTTGATTTTATTTTTCTCACAAGTTGCATAATTTTTCTATCTGAATTTTTATTTGTATGTAATTAACATTTCTTGACTTTTTCCCCTTTACATGTCCATATTATCTTTTAAAAGAAAAGTCAGTTTGAAGTGAATTGGTGATTTTTAAAAATTAATAACTTACTATAACAAATGTTCTAGTGTGTTTTAAGTGTAAATATTATTTGAAGATGCTGTTAGGTATCTCGCAGATTTGATTAACCCTTTATATCTTGACGACACTCATGCATTTGGTTCCACGTAACGTTAAATAAAATAATATTTCCATAATCCAACAGATTTTCTTGATCTTTTTGTTTAAATAGTTTTCGTATCTAACTACAAAAACACACTAAAACTATCTAACCACAAAAACACCCTAATCATGATAATTAAAAATATGTTTCACAAGTTTTCTGAAAATATAATTAGGGATATAAAGTGCTATTACTTTAATATGCAGTAGAGCGCCGATTATCCGAACCTTTATTATCCAAACGTCCAATTATCCAAACTGTGTCTGAATTCTTTTTCTTTTTTTTTTTTTAAGTTTAGAATACTTTTTAACCTATCGACAATTTTTCTAAATTGAGAAGAATAAATAATACCCCTACCTCTGAAGACCATATTTAATTTACAACCTTTTTAGCAGTTTTCTTATAGTTGCAATACATGCATGTATTGTGATGCAGTTAAACCTACATACCCCTTTACAACAGAAAATTATCTTCCAAGAAGACAAGCTTCATTTTGATAGTCTACAATGGTTGGAATGCAGAAGGAGTTTATGAATGTTTATGAAGTTCCATAATTGGGGAATGGGAAGTTGTAACTTATGGTTAATAATTAGTGATTACAGTGCTTGGAATCTTAAATCTTCGAATAAAATTCTTAACAGAAAAACAAACAAAACTGAAGTTTCTGAACCAGTAGATCTTTCGGATGAAAACGATGAAATTTTGAATGAAAATCGGGGCTCTACAGACAAAGTGAAAGAAGTAGGTGATCAAGTTCAAGATAGTGTACCTTTTCATGTAGAAGCATGCAATCCATTAGATTTCGCAATGAATTGGCTAAAACGTCAAAATGATGTTGATCCAGTTCAGTTAATTTATTTAAAAAGAATAAGGGATAAATGGTTGCTAAAAAAAAACGTGTCTTCTTTGAAACGAGATCTTTGCTGGATTTCTTTTGCAATGGAAAATAATGAAATATGTTTTAAAATCAGTAATTGACAAAAAAATTATAAAAAACTTAAATATGATAAAAATAATTTTAAAAAAATTATTAAAAATATTTAAAAATTGAAAAAGGAAAAAAATTTTAAACACGCCAGAGCTATTTTAGATAGTACTGCCAGTCCTAAGCCTATAAAAGGTGCGAAGGGAAGTTAATGCGTAAATAATAGTCATTTACACTAGATTTTAAACAACTTTCCAATTATCCAAACCATGTTCGGTCCCGAGCAGTTCGGATAATCGGCGCTCTACTGTATAAGTATTTATCCTATTCAATAGATGATATTTATATATGATATGATACTAAGTAGCATATTATTAGTAATTGAAACTGCAATGTTAAAAAGTTTGTTGGAGTGGGAAAGGGCGGATCAGGAATTTTATTGTAAAAGGTCAGGAAAAACTTGCAAAAGTCGGGATATTGTTTTCTCAAAATAGTGTAGGAACCCTGAATATTAATAACTGCCCAAAATACAATTGAAACATTACATTGATTTACGATACTATGGGTGCAATTTGAGTACACCAAAAAGTGATTGTCTAAATGCAGGATTCAAATATTACGCGTAAATTTCTGTTGAAAAGGAAGGTAAAATTTTTTACTTTTCAGAAGGAAATTCTTTATGCAGGAACTCTGTAATGTTCTGTTACAATGTTGCCGTGTTGCGCCAATTCTGCCACAGGGTTGGCCCCTTAACCGATGGCAGTTCTTCTAATCTACTCTTGAGTCTTTTTTATAGTAATGGACAAAGTAGTGAAAAATAAGATTTTTTTAAAAGTATATAAATTATTTTATTCTTTCAATTATATTTTTTTTCTATTCTCTTATTGAAATGATAATCATAAATTTATAAATCTGGTTAAAAAAAAATTATTTTCATCATCTCGATTTTTTACAAACCATGCAATTTTCATTTTTTCTTCAAGTAAACAGTATCGGGATTAATTTATAAAAGAGTATTAACAAAAGTAAAAAGATTAATATATAATACATAGAAAATCGAAAATAATCCAAGATTTCTGTAGAGAAAATAATCCCTATTTTGAGAAAGGTAGAATCTCTAGTTATAACTGATGACTTCACTCCCTTTGATTAATGATAAATTTTATTTTAATGAGTTTGACGAATGGAGTACTGGAGTTAGGTTCCCTCTTGATAGCTAATTAATTTTACCCCTGTTACAACCTAATTGTGAAACAAAACATGCATTTAAGGAGTCCGATTCGCGTTATTTCGTAACTTTTTTCCTTCAAAATTTGAAGAAAATAATTTGCGTACCCCCCCCNCCCCCCCCCCCCCCCCAACAGAATGCGTGAATATCACCCATAATGTTCAAATAAAAAATTATTACATGTTTGATTAAATAAAATATGTAGATTTTTTCTTTGCAAAGCGTTTTGTTATTTTAAGTTACTTTAGTGACATATATAGTTTGTTTTTATTAAAAGTATCTTGCAGAAGGATATTACTGCTAGAGAGTTTTGTCGCAGAAAGCTAAAAAAAAAATACAGTCGTAAATTAGTAATTTATCTAAAAAGTGCTAGTTCTCCTTTCCTTTTTAATACTGGGAGGAATAAAATATTTTACTAGGAGACGGATTGCAGAGCTATGTTTGGAACTATAAAATTTAATAAATAAAAAAATGATTGCATATGTGGAGAAAAAAACATAAAAGCAGGACCTTTTCCTTTTCACAATCATGATTTTTGTTCTTTTATATTCATTTTTATACATATTGCAATTAGTATGTTATGTGCCATTGTGAAAGGAATTTATGAGACTTTTAACTTGTAAAATTGGTTTTTTATTTTTTACTTAAATTAATTTTGATGTTTATTAAATTAGTTTTGAAGTTTATAGGCATTTTTAAAAGAATTTAATTTCAACGAGGCTCATTCATTAGGTTTGGCACATTATTTTCATGCCATTATATTGTAAACAAATGGCTTTCTAATTTCGCTCTATAATTTATAATTATAAATAAACAAAGCATTATATAATTTACTTTTATGATTTGAAATTAAATATTTTTTTAATAATATCGAAGTGAATTTAAGTAGAAATTTTATTTTGTACTTTACATATAATGTATATTTTTTCGATCAAAAAATCAAGTCTTTTAAAAAATGTCATCAATATACAAAATTTATAAGTAAAAAGAAATATTTATTTTCTAAGAAATTATGTTAGAAAAATCGCTTGTAGGTATACTTATTTATTTAGGATATTTTATACAATGAAAGTAATGAAAAATATAAAAATGACTACCGAAGCTGTCGCCGTCAGGGGGTACCAGCTCCTGAAGTCATAAAAACACAAAGCCTTTTTATGCGCATGAAAAATGTCTGAAAATTTCTCTCTCTGTACCCTAAAGGTTTTGTAAAAAGTCCAGGAAGAGAGAAAATAAATACAAAAATAATATGCAAAAGTAAGTTACATAAACTAATTGCAAAAGGAAAACATTGTTAAAAAAACTACTTAACGGTATTCCTATTTCAAACCAAAGCAAACAACTTTGTATGCTTTGAATACACAATATTCCTATTTCAAACAAAAGTTGTGACAATTCTTTTCATTCTTCCTGGACATTTTACAAAACTTTCGGAGTACAGGGAGAGCAATTTTTAGTAATTTGTCGTGCTCTCTCGATAGAAAAGGTTTTGTATTTTAATGACTTCTAGAGCTGGTACCCCCTGACGACGTCAAACTGGGTTGTCATTTTTATATTTTTCATTATTTTCTTCTTTTACATTTTCTATTAGTATATACCAGGTATGTTTGTTGAAAGGGATGTCAAATGTTTTTTGTTAAAAAAGGAGTTTTTGTGGTATGAGTTCAATTTTATTAATTCTTCAGGTAATTCTTTTTAAAGTTTAAGCTGATATGCATTGCAATTTTAAGTATGTTTGTGATATTTATAAGAAATTTTGTTTCTAGATGTTATTCGTTCAGCAATAGGAGCAGCTGTATGGGCTGCAGGCCTCATAACTTGGATTGTGATATTTCAGTTAAATCGAGCAGATTGGGGAGAATTTGCTGATTCTCTGTCATTTATTATTCCTGTAGGAATTCCATAGTTCTCCAACATTATGTTTTTAATTTATTTATGTATGTTTGTATGTTGTTTATTTTTAATTCAAGTATTATGTTTTTGTAAATAAATATTTTTTTATTGAATATGTATTAGTTTTCTTTATATATGTGTCTGCACGTTAACTTCGTATATCACAGTTTTAAATACCTGATCCTGCCGGCACAAAAATTTTCCAGTAAAAATCATTTTGCTACTTACTATAGTGCCTTTAGGTAAAATTTAAGTAAAGACGTTTTATTAATCTAATTATCTGACAGAACCAGATAATTATAAATATAGTTGTGTGAAAAATAAAAATGCACATGCGAAGAAAATTTTATTTCAAAATTTATTAACCAATTCTAGATTTAATACTTAAAAAAAGTTTTTGTATATTTTTATTATTCTGTAGTCTAAGCATTAAGAATTTTTTTTTTTTTTTTTTTTTAAATTGACCCACATATTCCCTCAGGGGGTTTACTTTTAAGTAAACACGGGTGTCACAATCCCGAGGTACCTCAGTGATTATTATGTTATTTAAAGTTCGCTTACCATGACTTAAAAATAAGTACATCAATATTTTTGCAAACAAACTTTAGTTGTAATCATTAGCAAAGCTGAGCTATTGTTTCTTTGTGTAATTATGTTTGCTTGCTACCATAAACTAATGCCAAAACTGAATAAATCTGAGTAAAGGAATGAAAAAAATGATTTGTAAATTCTTATTGTTCTGTAATCTAAATCATTGCAAAAAAAATTGTGTGTTTTTCATAATTATTAAATTTAAAAAAAATTCGACCCACTTATTCCCTCAGGGGGTTTACTTTTAAGTAAACACGGGTGTCACAATCCCGAGGTACCCCAGTGATTGTTTTATTTAGATTAAGTTTATACAAATTGCATAGGTTATACAAATCATGAAAGTAAAAAATGGCCATAGGGTAATTGATGAAGGGAATATAACTTCTCCAGTATTTGATTAAAAGTTATTAAAGCGATTAATCTGCATCNTTATCGTTTTTATATCTACTATTACTAGTGACGATGTAATCTTTGTTTCCTCCAAGCAGAACTATCTTGTTTCAGAATAGTACGGCTACCTATATATTTTGTCTATATTTGTACGTCTTGTAGTATATTTTATGTATTAATAGTACTGAGAAATACTCTCATGAGATTGACTTGAAGTTTATTGAAAATGAAAACATGATTCGCGGTTACAATGTAACAGGTTACAATGTAAACTTCTCCACGTGGTTGCTAGGAACATGTAAGATAAGTTGTATAAAAATAATTGGTTTGCAATAAACTTACGTTATGATTTTTATGAAAAAAATCCACCATTTCATAAAATATTCTACGTAACAAGATTATGATAAGAAAATAAAGTAATAATTTCATTTTGTAAAGGCAAAAATGATTATGCATTAAGGGGACTTTTTTTTTACTTGTAGACGCGAGGGACAAAATATAGAAGTAAATTATGCAAAAAAAAGTAAACGGAGAAAAACTACTTTTTTTGTGTAAACTGGCTCTGATAGCTGTAATATCATGCTTAAAATATAAGAACTTCCAATGTATTTTAAGTGCACATGGGTAAGCCACATGCAATTAAATACATAAAAATTAAATAGTTAAGATACATAGATAAAAAGTTAAACTTATTTAATGAAATAGGAAATCAGTAAGTTTTACATTCTGAATAAATAAACGCGTGCCTTGGCACAAACGTGAAGATGATGACGCTACACTGGTCGAAGCTGTAACCCGAATGGGAGAATACAGTCTCTGTGTCAGGGTTGCCAACATTGAATGTTCACGCCAAACCGGCGTTTCAGGATAGTTCGTTATCGCCGTAATGGCTAGACGATCCGCTGCACACTCCCTCCGCAATGTTGTTGAAAATGGACATATCTTCGGGGAAGCTGAACTTTTCTACCAACACGTGTAGTTTTGTTGGCAAAACCAGCTGGCTGAGTAGACGCATCCGTCATCGGGACAGTTGGAGTCCTTACTGCTTGAGCACTAGCAGGAACAGGTGGAGGATCATCACTTGCTAAGAAGGTTGGTTTCAACCTGTCAATTGAGACGGTGTGTTGTGCACCCATCATTAATACATCGAAAGTTTAGTCACTTCTGGAAATAACTTTATACGGTCCGTCGTACGGAAGTTGTAGTGGCTTGCGTACTCCGTCATGTCTCAGGAACACATGGGAGCAGTCTTTCAAATGGGGATGGACAAAAACAGTTCTATGTCCATGGCAAGATGTTGGGATTGGTCTAAACTCTGTGAATGAAATCTAAACTCTGTGAATTCCGAAATAATTCTTTTAATTCTGGGTCGTTTTCCTGAGCAACGGCGATATCTTCGTAAACGATCGGACTGGGCATTGTGATTGCAGTTATACTCGAAAGAGCATCGGCCGTTATATTTTCTGAACCCTTAATGTAGTGTAAGACAGTGGTAAATTGTGATATAAAATCTAATTGCCTACATTGTCGTGGAGAATTTTTGTCAGATCGTTGTTGAAAAGTAAACGACAAGGGTTTGTGGTCCGTAAAAAGCGAAAAATTTCTTGCTTCAAGCATGTGCCTAAAATGTTTGATGGAAGCGTATGCAGCAAGNCTTCAAGCATGCTAGTTTAGGTTAGGTTAAAGTTTTAATTTTCCTATTTTGTTTTCTTTTACAGCAGCAGCTTTTAATTTTTTTCTTTTGCTTTTCACTACTATGGTCATCAACTTTCATTTTACAATAATTATTTAGCCGAGTATTTGTAGCAAATTTTAAAATAAAATTTAATAATTTTTCGATGTTGTGACCATCACTACGCATACCTGTAGTAGACAACATATCATTATTTTGCAATACATTAAGAATAACATTAAGAGAAATATTACATTGATTAGAACATTGTAAAAAATTTTCTTCATAATTATAACTAACCAATTTTTGTACAACAATGTAAGAGTGAAGCACTGCATTTATCACAAACTCTGTCGGATATAGTAACCCATCTCGATCACAAATTTTGATTAGGTTGAATTCAGTTACACAATCCATTTCTTTTTCTCCTGACATAGATCCCTGCACATAGTACAAGTAGTATGCTTTAGTGCTGCTTAAGCACAATAGCCCGCTAAATGTACTATGACAGGCATTGATGCTTCCACTCTAAAAATATCAGAGTCATTGACATTGATGTCTAAAAAGTGGTCATCAATTGGTTCCATTTCAGATGAACTGACTTCTTTATCATCAAAAAAGGTGATACTTATATCACCTTTGTGATGAGAAGACAGTCTCAGTTGTTTGGATAAGCGCAGCTTATTTTCTGTCCCAAACATTTGTCGTACGGAAATGTGATACTGAGAACCAGCCATACTGCGATACTGCCCAAACCTAGACTCCAACTTGTCAGTCTGGATTTTCCCGGGCAACACATCCCATACTCCCCAACACATACTCAGTAATGCAATACTGTGTCAGATTGATTATAGCTTCAGTAGTAATTAACAAAGCAGTAAGAGTTTCCTTTGTTATTCTACCACTGTCTGAATCTAATTTACCCCATCTTTCTAGCCAATCTAGAAACTTGTGCAAGAAAATATATTTTTCATCACAAGTAAGAGGCTCACACATAGTTTTGCGTATGCGTTTACCTTTGAAAGGGGTTTTTACATTAACAATGTCCCACCAAGTAGATGTAATGTCAATGTATTGACTAGTTTCTTTACAGTCAAGTAAATTGTGCTTACTCGCAACGCAATAGCAGTATTAGCATTGGAAAATTTTTTATGTTAACTTTACGTTCTGGCGTTCAAGGTTGGATGGCCACAAAGCTTTTCTTGTCAAACCATATCCATATTTTAATAGATTGTATGATTCTAACTCGTAAAGTTTACGAAAAGAGCCAAAGCTAGCAATTTGTATCTTTTCGGTATCAGAATCAAAGTGGGAGTAAAACATATATTGCCCATTTTTTTGATTGATCCAGTTATTACGAAGGCACTTAACCTCATGTACTGAATCAATTACATAAAAAAGAGGACGTGGATTATCAAAAGGGTGAGGATAAACATAACTCAGTTTTGGAGGACTGCAGAAAAGCGACATAGCTCTACGTTTAATAGCGTTATTATCAGTCGTTACAGCAAAAATTCTGTAACCAATATGTTCTAGATCAATAATAACTCTATTAATCAGAGCATGCAAATTTTCTGCAGTTATAGTAACGAAAGGCACAATATGAGCAATAATTTTAAATGAACTAAGTTTACTCTGAATCATAAAGGTATGAGCACTAGTTGCTAGACCTTTACTATCGAATGACATACCTACCATATTCCCACCTTTGTAATAAAGGTAGGGTTGAATGTGGATTTCATCAAGCACCAAAGTTTTTTGTTTTGGAGGCTGCAGAAGAACGACACAGGAATAGTGAATACCACTGCAGACAAGAGTCGCACAAAATAGTATTACCCTGACTGCAGTCTTGTGTGCAGAAATCACATTGTGAACCCATAGCCAGCCATCAGAAGTAAAGAATTGCTTCACTTCATTAATTTCACGTCATGATTTCATATAAGAAGAAACCTGCTTTATACTACATTCTATAGCATCTTCTTCTATCAAAATGCCTTTATTTATAGCCTTTGATAATGTTCCTTCATCTCCAAAGCACTTCAAAAGCATCCTTTGTCTCTCCAAAATTGTTTTTCTTGTAAAAGGAATTAGCCTATTACATTTCTTCCTCTTCAAACCAACAACTGTTGTCGTTAAACCTAAAAATATAAAATATTTTAAGAAAAAAAAAAGCCAGATAAAAGAAATCATTACAGAAGATANTGTGTGCAGAAATCACATTTTGAACCCATAGCCACCCATCAGAAGTAAAGAATTGCTTCACTTCATTAGTTTCACCTCATGATTTCATATAAGAAGAAACCTTCTTTATACTACATTCTATAGCATCTTCTTCTATCAAAATGCCTTTATTTATAGCCTTTGATAATGTCCCTTCATCTCCAAAGCACTTCAAAAGCATCTTTTGTCTCTCCAAAATTGTTTTTCTTGTAAAAGGAATTAGCCTATTACATTTCCTCTTCAAGTCAACAACTGTTGTCGTTAAACCTAAAAATATAAACTACATAGAAGAAATCATTACAGAAAATAAAAATTAAGCAGTGTTTAAGGAGAATGGGAACCCAGCATAAGTAATAGAATTAATTTTGGGGCCATATAATGTGTGATTTTTTTTTTTTAAATATGCAAAACGGGAAAAAAAAACTTTTCTAATTTCAGAAAAATTTTTCAATAACTAGTTTTTCAATATTTAAAGTTAAAGAGTACAGTAAGAATTTATTTAATAATTTCTGACATTTTGTCCATGGGAAATTTCCTAAAATACATCGGTAAATTTCTGGCCCAGTTTACAAAATGTCATGACTGAATTTTGAGTTGGATACGTTAATCCATATTTATCATCATCACTAACTTATAAATGCAACATAGAGCTTTCAGCCAAATTCTTGTCTGTCATTAACAGCTTGTGACACTGAAACTTCTTACATGTATTATTCAGATCTGTATAGAAAAATAGTATTAACACAAATCATGTGTCAATGCTAAAAAATAAAATCTCAGTTTAGCAAATATAGCGATATTAGTAATTAGCATTGTCTCTGTTTGAAAATCAAATTGCTTATTCCTATGTTGCTCATGCCATAACAAAAACTCGGCTTTAGCTTTAGTTGACATTTTGTCCGGGCAATAGAAAGACGGGTCAGGTGGAGTTCCTAACTATGTTTGATTGGCAGCGGTGTTAAACAAATGCTTGAAGTAACCTTTTTTTTTATTTCCGTTAATCCAAAACAAAATGCTAGTTTTGATAGAGCCATCGGTAGAAAATTAAAGGAATCAATCTCATTGATACTAAGGCTTGAATGTTTTATACACATAACTTTGGAACCATTAGGGACAGCATCAAGGGTTAAACCTTGCTCCGAAAGCCCATCGAAACTATAGTCAAAAATAATTTAAAAATTAATACAGTATATAAAAATCAGTCATGAAAACATCTTACCCCTTCATGTTGTGGTCGATTGCTGTGAACTCTTTATGAAGAGGTGAAAACAACCAGGAACAAAACTATTGGAGTGCGGTATATCCCTTAAAAATTTTTTCAAAACCTTTAAAATATTGTGCGGCGGCAAAGTTAACGATATGCTCTATTGGACTCTGATCAGTCTCAAAATCAAACTAGGTTATCTTTCCCGTTGGTTTTTTTGCTTCAACCTTGCGTAGATAACGTAAATGTGATTCATTGACAAGCTCCCCCACAAGAGCCACATTTTGACGTTCCACAACGATGAGATTCACGAGGACACGATTTCCGTAGGATTACTTTTGAGCTCACTCTACATTGATATAACTGTAAAATAAAAATGAATATATATACATATTTATATAAATAACATACTTAGGAAAATCCTCACAATGAACATTAAAAGCAGCAATAATATTATACATATATACTGTATCACACATTGACATCGTTTGTTTCCCCTGTTTTGATTTGTGGCTAGTATAGCATTCCTCCGAACGGCAGTCAGTGGTCAACAGTCTTTCCGGTGGCATACATGACATAAATTTTCACAAAAATGGTTTTCTTCATGATCGTACGGTTTCTCACAACCCTCACAGTAATAGTTAGATCCACGAAAGCCTTTCAATGATGTTATTACACCATAATGTCCATTCTGATACCACAGATTAACTTTTTCGATTTGCGCCACTCTTGAAAGCCATCTAAAAAAAATTCCATAGTTAAAATCATGCTTATTTTTAAAAATATAAGTAACGAAAAAATTAACTTCACTTTAATTGATTTCATTAAAGTAGTTGAGTAATAAAGTATAATTTCTATATTATGAAATTAAACCGACATTGATTATTTTTCAGATTAATAGTTAATGTATAAATGATCGTATTCAATATAGGGTATATAATAAGTACAAAGTATTAATCAAATAATTAAAATGTATAGTAAACACTTACTCGGTTTTCATTTGATGAGGATAATACTACTATCTGAGTGTCCAAAAGTGTTTCAAATTTAGCGACTTCTGCATAGGTGCAAGGGCCTATCGGTACACCGGCATCTTTATGTCGAAATGAGCATGGTTATTATTTAATGATATGTTTGATACATAATTATGATCATTTTGAAACACCTATATTCTAGCTTGAAAAGATTTTGCCAAGTTAAAATATAGATTCTTTTACTGTCAATAAAGTCAAATAAAAGTATTTTAACATGAAAAACATTCCTTCCCACATGGATTTGTTGAAAAAAATAATTTCAACAAACACAGGCTCATTCTCTTTAAAATATAAAACAAAATAACATTCACTGATATTTGCCAATGCCATTTGTCCTTGAATCTGATACATGTAGGCATGATTATCATGGAGTTTAAAGCCTTTATTTTCATCAACTTCAAGACAAAAATTCTCCATTAACATCACTCAGGAATTCAAACTTAGTTTAGTAGGATTATATATACATTTAAGTTCCACTAGAATGGGGTTTCCAGGAGCATATAAAAGGCCATTTGGAGAAGGGATAAAATGGATTTTTAATAAGCATCGTGTTTCTGAAAGTATAATCAGAAAACTTGTGAGTAATAATGGTTTTCGCATTTACGTCCATGAGCCACAGCAGGTATGTGGGATAAATCTTTCCAATTACCTTCATATAACTGATGAGCCAAAACATCATGAGCTGAAACATGGTTGCATATCCTGTGGAAGTTCGAGGCAGTTAAACGAAATACAGGCTCTAACTTCCTTGTATCATTCTTACTGTGTTTTACTGTTAACTTTTCAACAGCAATTGCTTCATCCAAAGTGAATGTTACCTTATTGTGCACGAACAAGTTCTGTACATGTTCAGCACAATCAGGTATAATGATGTGCATACCCCCAATATCTAATGCAGGTACGGCTTTTACTGTATGCTAAATCATCTTTGTCACATTGGGAAGGATTCACAACGTCAAAGATGGGAGCATTTAAACATATAGCATTTAGGGCACTAAAATTTAAATAGGCAGAAATATTTGAATTAAGAAACTCATTGGCAACGAAAAAATTTTTAGGCTCTCGCTTCACTGACTTCTTCTGATGCCATCTCTGTAACACTTCAGTAGGGAGAGCATACAATTTTTCAGCACTGTAACTTTGAATGGTATAGAGCAATGCAAGAGAGTGTTTGCCAAAGCTAGNTCGAGGCAGTTAAACGAAATACAGGCTCTAACTTCCTTGTATCATTCTTACTGTGTTTTACTGTTAACTTTTCAACAGCAATTGCTTCATCCAAAGTGAATGTTACCTTATTGTGCACGAACAAGTTCTGTACATGTTCAGCACAATCAGGTATAATGATGTGCATACCCCCAATA